AACCTGCTGGTGTGACAAGTGAATATCCATTTCTACCTCTCAGAGAACCCTCTGATTTCTCTGGGAAATTGCCATAACACTGTCCTAAAATAACTAATTCCTCAGCAACCAAGGTGGCTTAGTGGAAGAAATCCAGCTAGATGCAAAATGGGGAAGAAGGATCCCAAACCAAGGACCCCTTAGCAAGACCTGAGATCTAAGCAGACAAGCAGGATTTCTGGCATCTAGAGATCAGCAATTCCTGATCCACAAAACTGTGCAAATGTTAACCTGCTCAGCCTCTGCTCACGCTGACCTCCCACTGGACTCACCCATAGGCAGGACCAGGTGACAAAGGGTCAGAGGGTGTCCTGACCCCACATGACCTGCAGTTAGGACAGGGCAGGTGGAGGCAGGTCTGTTTCACAAGGGTGGTGGTGGGGGGGGGGCTGTTGTTTCCAGATGGAGGCTACAGAATAAAAGCAGACCAGGGACTCCTACGCTACCTTGTGGGGGTCCCTGATAGAGAAGGGGCAGAGAGGAGGCTGGGAGGGAGTCCCAGGACCCTCAGGGGCCACTTACCTGCATACAGCTGGGACTTCCTCCAGGCTGGAAGGGAAACACACAGGTGAGACTCAGCACAACACCTGCTCAAGAGATCCACTGGGCCTGGGTCCCCCTGTTCTGCAGGTGAGACTCTCTGTGGGGTCGGGGGGGGGGGGGGAGGCTGGGAGGTCAGGACCTCCTGCCCTGTGCAGATAGCAGGGGGTGGTGGGAAATCCCCTGGCTCAGGTCAGGAGCCTGCAGGACAGACTGACCCAGCCCTGCCTGCTGCTGCTGAGGGCCTTTGGGTAAGTCGCTGAGCAGCTCTGGGCCTCAAAACTTAAAACATTCTTATTCTACCTTTGTTCAGTTTTGACACTAAGAATTAAAAATTATACTATTAAGAAATAAAATATAAATTATTCCATATTGTAACAAAATCTAGATCCAATCTATTTTGAGCAAAGAAGGATTTAGGATATGAGGAAAGCTCTGGGGTAAAAGTCACTAATCTACCTCAGAGAAAACCCCGCTGTTCTGGATCACTGACAGCCCCCACCACACCCCACACGTGGTCAACCTGTCCACCTCAGCATTCATTGATCAGCAACTTCAGATTCTGGAGAGAACAGACTGCTTGAATGCTGTTTTGGAGGCAGCGGGCAAAAGATCACTCTTCAATTTAATGTCCCCATTTACTTATCCACCTTTTTTTTTTTTTCAAGAGGCATGTATTTTTATTTATTTATGATTTATTTATTTATTTGTTTGTTTGTTTTGTTTATACAAGCACTGGGTACAGTCAGAAGCGCGGGAGGGTGAGAGAATTCACCAGAGCCAGAGCGGGGAGCAGAGCAGGCAGAAGGACCGAAGTACACTGCTGAGGGGAGCAGCGGGCAGCAGGAGAGGTCTGCGCGCCATGTGGGACCCTCCTCTGGTGGCCGGGGAGCAGCCGGGGATCGAACTGGCGCCCCAGAGGCTACGGGCAGCTTCGCAACCCAGCGCTTAACCGCTGCGCCACCAGGGAGGCCCTACTTATCCACCTTTAATGAAACTTCAGAGGAATTGTCTGTTGCTTCCAGGTGCTGATCAAGAACGAGATGCATGGAAGGCTGAAAGCCATCACCATGGAGGGAAGGGCAGGGATGGAATGAGACCAGGATGCACAAAACTCCATGGATTACCACTCACCAGGATGCCCTGACTGAGTGGGATACAGCCAAAAACTGGGAGAACCTGGGAACGTGGTCTTGCCTCCCACCAGCTCCACCACAGGGAAGGGGTCCCCATGTACTTAGACAAAGGGGAGACACCTGGGCTCAGGGGGGACAAGTTACCCAGGACCCCTGGAGCATCACTCACCAGCCAGGTAAGCTGCCTTCCTCTGGTCTGAAAGACAACACAGGACACAGGTGAGCTAAGAGCCAGAATGCCTCCTATGAAGGGGACACGGAGGGTTCAGGAGGGGGAGCAGAGCTTACCTAGAGTTGCCTGGAGTTCCTCTGAAAGAGTGAAAACAAAAAAGCTTCAATTCCTGTCCCCAGGAAGGAAAACTGTGTGCCTAGAGGATCCACAAAACAAAACCCTTTCTGTGTCATAAAATTCCCATCTCCAGACCCATCTGAACCTCCAAGTTCCATTGTTCTCTGGAACTCAGCCTCCTGCTCTGATCTCCCCATAAAATGGACCCTGGGCTCTGACTCGTGATCAGCTTGTCCCTCTCAGCACCAACTGCCTCACTCACCAGACTGGCCCTGTCCTGCCTTACCTGTGTTCTCCAGGGCCTCCTCCTTGGTCTGTCTATCCTCCTCTTATCCCGGCACAGACTTCTCTGTTTCTGCAGCTCCTGCATCTGTGTAGAATGTTCTCTCCAGGCGTAGCAAGCAGCCCCCAGGAAGAGGAGCAGCAGCAAGGTCAGGATCACCAGGAAAGCTGGCTTCCAGGGAGAGACCCGGGGGAAGAAGGGCTCTACAGACAGAGACCCCCACAGACACCCTATCAGGACACAGCCCAGGACAGCCCACCCCAGCTCACCTGGTGGTACCCAGCCCCTCCCTCTGACCCTAGGGAGGGGTGAGAGCGCTGACCTGGGGTGACAATGGCCATGGCTTTCTCCTGGCCCAGGACAGGGTTGAGAATGGAGCAGGAGACACTCCCCACAGAGCTGTCTCTCACCACCAGAGCGGACTCCACGCTGAACAGCCCCTCAGTGTCCTTGGTGTAGGCCTCAGAGAACTGGTGTAACTTTTTCCCATGGGGGTCTCTCCACTGTACCTGGGGCTTCGGGAACCAGCCCAAGGCTGTACACACCACACGCACCCCGTCCTCCACTGGCCCCGTGATGTGCACTTGTGGGGCAGAGCCCATACCTGCAAAAGGAAGATGAGTGGCAGGTGGGGCAGGACCCACCTCTGCACACCTCCAGGGAGTTTGTCCAGGTGCATTCTGGGGAGTATGAGGAAAGCCTGCTGCCTGCAGGGACCAAGACATGACCCACCCCCAGAGTCAGATGGATGGAGTATGGGGACTAATGGGGCACAGAGGGCTGGGGCTCAAGCTATCAGGTTGAAAGTCGATGTCCAAAGGAAACAGAAGAAATTAGTCCCAGGTTCCATCCTAATCCTCCACCTTTCTCACCTCACACTCTCCCAAAGCATCTTATCCATACCAGCTTCCTCTCCTCTAAATCACTCCCACATTATAGTAATAACAACCCTACCTCAATTCCCCTCCCTGAAATTATGCCCCTGTGTGTTACCATTACTGTGATTCCCTCACACACACTCACACTCAAATTCCAGAATGAATTAATGACTCCACCCCATCTGTGATAGATATGCAAATATCCCCAATTCTTCATCTTTATTTCTAACTTTCCCTCTGCCTCATACATCCTGGTGTCTTCTCACTCTGCCCCTGGATGGGGTCATGATTGACTTAACCCTGAGGCCAGTCAAGGTCACTCAGACACTGGGCATAGAGCCTATGCCTGGGCGCCCTCTGCCTGTGAAGGGCATGCTGGACAACCTTTCCCAGATCACACCCAGCCAGCTCCACATCACAACCTCACCACCAGACTCTAAGGACAAATAAAAACTAGAGTAAGAGACTTAATTCTCCTTGTTAAAAATAAGGAAAGAGATTCACTTCCCCTCCTTTTAATTACAGCATTTATTTTAGAAAACTTGTACTTGTAGGTACTTTCTCTTCTTTTTGAAATGTATACAAATCCTTTTTGAAAAATAGATAGGCTTTTTGCCAGCTTCATGATCCAGTAATATCTTTCTCAAAGAATCCAGGAGCCATCTCATGGAAATGTTGACATCAAAGGAGATAGCACCCCATGTCCCCCCTTCTTATGAGGAGAGGCACCTAACTTCATTGTGCACCTTGCTCCAAGTTATAAAGTCACTTCTTGTCATAAAGATGTAGGAATTTATTTTTCCTCCAGATAAAGCCAATTAGCTAGAAGTCCCCAATCGCCAGGTAAGTTTTGAAGTGAAGTATGAGGATAAATAGTGTTGTCAAGTCCTTTCATATGAGAGCTGATGATTGTTCATCTTGAAGACATGTATGCCATGCATGGTGTCTTCACAGTCTCTTAGTAGATAGATTGGGATGCATATAAAATTCTGATTTAATGCTTTTTCAATAATAAAAGTGTTTTCTTTCTCTACTATCTTTGTGAAGTGAATTTCTGAATATGGAGTCCATTGCTTTACATTTTGTTATATTTTCTCAGCATGACCAAATCCAGTGAAGGCTACCGAGTAGAACCCAGATTAGCAAACCTCCTTATTGCCTGAACTAACTAAATGGTTGTGACTCTATGCTACTGATATTTGTGTGGCTGTATGTGGCAGAGCATTATGACAATATTAGTGATTAACACACAATCACCTTTATCCCTAACAACAAACAGCAAAAAGTCAAAACAAAACCCTGGGAGTCTGCATTGTCCTCTTCCCCTACAAACTCTCTGTGAGCTCAAATCTACCTACTCTATTGAGAGTTTATTTTTTTCAAATTTTGTTGACATCTGACCCTCCTATCCACACACTGGTGCTACTGAAGTCGGGCAGTCCTCCTGGGCAGTCCTCCCTCTACCGTGACTGTGATCCACGCCTCCAGCCATGCTCACCTGTCATCCATTCTCCTCTCAGCTGCCAAAGTGAACATTCCCAACACTATTCTGTTTAAAATTTCCTCAATTTTGCACTCAAACCCCTAAACAGTGTACACAATGTCTTCCATGACCTGCCATCTCTCTGCGTTCCCCCTTAATAATTCCTTCTATTTCCCAACTTATACACCCTGTGCCTATCAAGGCCCAACACTCAAGCCCCAGTGAATATTTCTCAACTGCGAATAACCACAATTACCATGCTGGGGGCCCCTGCCTCCTGGCACCCAGTCCACCAGCCTCAAGGGCTCTGGAACCTTGTCTGGTGACCTTCAGTGTCTGCCCAGTTGTGTACCTCCAAACCTCCTGACCACCACAGGCAGCCTAAACCACTGCTCTCTGTGCACCCGGTACCAGGAACATCGCATTACTCCAGGGCTGTCCCCTGCTACCACCCTCTATTCACTCATCTGCCAACCACCATGGGCTCCTCGTGCTCCAGACACGCCAGCCCACTCCTCCCATGGGAGTGTCACCATGCGTGTCCCCTGGGCGTGGAACTCTTCTCCCCCCAAAAGTAAATCCCTGAACTCCATTCCTACTTCTTTTGAGCTTTTTCTCAGATCATCAAAAGGCCCAAGCTGAGCCCCTATATTACACCGAAGCCTTCCCTCCCTCCTACCCCCAAATCCTGGCCCCGTCCCTGCTCTATTTCACCTTTTATCCTAAACACTTAGCACCTTCTAAGATTCTCTATTAGCTTCTTGTCCATTTATTTATGTATTTACTCTAGAAAATAAACTCCACAGGCCAGGGTTAGGCTCACTGATGTACCCCATGTGCCAGCCAGACCCTTTACATAGCAGCCCCTGCACATAGTAGGAGCCAGGGCAGGAGGGAGTCTTTAGGTTTGTGTGGAGTAAGTGAGGGAGACTGAGCCTGTCTTTCCGGGTCTATAAAATGAGGAGCTGATTTACTTGGTCCCTGAGGGTCCTCCCAAAGGAATCCTAGCAGATACATCAAGTCACCAACCTGCCACCTTCAGCTCGAAAGTAGCCTCTTCATAGAAGTTTTCCTTCCTGAAGAAGCAGGTGTACTGCCCGTTGTCGGGGACCCGGACCCCGCGGATGCGCATGGCCGCCTCCCCCCGTGCCAGGAAGTCCTCCTCCAGGGACGTGCGCCCCCTGTACAGGGCCAGCTGCTCCTCGCCCTCTTCACGACCGTTTTTGTAGCTGAACGCGGCCTCTGAGAACTTGGAACGGAACCACCTCAGCTCCATGTCCCTCACGTTCATGGGGGGCGACACACGACAGGGCAGCTTGGTGTCCCTGCCCAGCACCGCCACGATGGCATCCGTGGGGCCGATCACTCGGAACTCCTCTGTGGACACAGACATGGGAGCGAGAAGGCTCAGAGACGCACCTGGGCAGGGACCGCGCCTCGCGCTGGGAGGGCCGGCTCCGGGGGCAGGTGTCCTGTGAGATGGCCCTGACCCGTGGGCGTGAGCAGGGAGTCTCTGAATCAGGGGAAGAGCTTCTGGCCCCAACTTTGTGATGCAGAATGATGTCAGAGACCCCCACATCTCCCTGTGCACCGGCCCCGGGCCCTTGGAGAAGGACTAACTCTTCAATCTCCCCCCCGCCCACCCCGAGACACCGGAATCACCATCGCTGGGAACCCTCCCCACTGCCCAGGGCGCACTCAGCAGGTGCTGCTCAAAGGAGCAGGAGGATGCGACATTAGTGTCCTGGGGACACATGCTGAGAACCACACTCTAGTGTGACCAATTTCAGGACAGGACTGAAGGTGGCTGAAGAGCTTTCTGTGCTCTGGTGAGAAGTGTGTGGTCCCTCTGCCACCCCAGGGCCCCCACCCCCACTCTTAACTTAATATTCTTAATGTATTTCTCCTCCACTGAATTAGCTGTGAAGGAAAAACCAAAGCCAATTATTATTTTTGTTAAAGACCTACCATCCCATCACTCCCAGGAGCCCAAATCACTGCTTCTGAAAAGGAAGCTTCACCCACTGACACCCTCTTAGAACTCTGGGTCTTCTGAGACCAGGTGGACAGACTGACATGGTTCTTCTGCAGGGTGAGCTCTGCTGGACTTCAATGAGTTACTCTCACCTCTCCTGCTCCAGCTTGGCCTGAGTCACCACCAGCCCTCATCTGGAGGATGAGGGTAGCTAGTCTCCCTGTCTGTCTCTCCTCACCCCACGTCTGGGACCCTTTACACCTGAAAGCTGTGTTCCTACAATTCTCAAATCTCACAGTGGCTCCACATTCCCACAGTGACCCACAGACCCCATAGGGTTGACTGTCTAGTACCTCTCTAACACCCAAATCCTCCTTCCCTCCTTTTCTCCCTCTCTCCCTCTGCTCCAACTGAGCCTCACCTCCTCTGTACTTGCACATTCAACACGCAGCCAGCCCCCAACAGGGTGGTTCCCTCCATAGGATCCTAATCCCCAACACCCCTCCGCCAGGGCTTTGCTCCCATCCCACCATCTATACTGACCCCCTTGATGGTCACAGCTGCCCCCACACCCTTCCCTCCCCTGCTGCCCGACCTGCTCCCTGCCTGTCCTGCCTCTCAGTGCTTCTAAAGGTGAGGGTGGGATGGGTTTCATGTCTTTTTTAGTCACTGTCTCCTCCAAGAAAGCAGCTCTCTGAAGTTGGGGAACTTCTCCATTCTATACATAGCACATAATAGAAACATAATGGTGGAATGAAGTGAATTAATGACTAACAAGTTTTTGTGATGCAAATAAATCTAAAACAAAAAGTGAGGGTAAAAGTATTTTCACATTTTTGCAAGTTACATTTTTTAAACACCATAAACTAATCACTGAGTAATAGTCATCCCTCCCCCTCATGCAGCAGCTCAGTGACTGCTCTTAACTGTCTCATCACATGAGTGGTCTGGGAGCACCCCTATCTTTCTAGAGCCAGGCCCCCCACACAGCCATCTTTCCTGCAGGAAGAGCTCCCAGAACCGCTGGGCCCCACCCACCAGAGGGAGACACAGGAATTGGGAGGGACACACTCACCTTGGGATCCTCCGGGAGGCAGCTGGAGGAGGAGCAGCAGAAAGGGGAGGAGGCAGAGCACAGAGCTGGGGCAGGAGCAGGGCGCCATCTCCTCAGGGCTGGGGAGAGACAGGGCAGGAGGCAGCCAGGCCCACACAGAGGAGCAGGGCAGCCAGGAGCTCTGGGCTCAGGGGGGAACAGGGCTCAGGGTCTCCCCCTATGCCCTCACTATACCAACAGGAGACTTTCTTACAGGTATATTATGTTAATAGGGGGAAGCATAAGCACACAGCTCTGACACCAAGAAAGGACAACGAGACCTCCATTCAGCCCTTCTGAAAGCCTCTGTGACTATAGGGATGATTAGGTTTGCTTGAGAAGAAAACCCTGCAGCCCTTTCCACCCCAGTGGCCCCACACCACAGCCCCATTTGACCAATCCGTTTTGTTCCCAACATCTGGGCCCAGGGTCCAAATGACACCCCACTCATCTTCATCGTACCCAGTGACTCCCCAGGACAGAGGCCCAGACCTAGGCTCCCACGAAGGACAGGCCAGTGCCTGCTTGTGATCCTGCCCCCCTCAGTGTGAGCAGGTGTCCCTGAGAAGCCTCAGGACACACGACACTGTACCCAAGGAGTTGGGGTCCCCCCACAGGCCCCTGTCCTGCTCTGTCTGCTTGTTCAGTTCACCTGAAGGTCAGTCCCTCCCCAGCCCTGACCTTCCAGGGACAAGGACAAGGTCCTGCCCCAAACATAGCAGGAGCCAGGTCAGATCCCCACTGAGGGCTTCGGTCCTCATCCTCATCCTCTCTAACTGGTGTAGACAGAGCAGCAGGAAGGGTAGATGAGTCCTGCTCAGAGAAAACACCCTCAAACCACCTACTGACTGGGGTTGGTGGAGGTAAGCAATGTTCCTGGGAGGGCAGATTCTGGGTGCTACAAGGTCCCCTCTGAACTCAGCCACTCTCTGTGTGACCATATTCATGAACTCCCTTAGACTTCTTCCCTCAGTTTCATCATCTGTAACATGAGAATACTAGCAACAGTTCCCTTCAAATTTGGAGGGAGAATTACATGAAATTGTATTTGAAGAGTCACTACATGCCATTAGAACAGCATCCACAGCGAGTGTTACATGCACATCATGAGATTAAATGACATACAACCCTCAGTGAGGTTGTGCTGGTTCTTCTTAGAGCAGCGCCATTTCCAGTGGCACCCCCCGAACCTAGTCCATCCCCATCATAGTCTCAGCTCCCTCCTGACAGCCAACTGCTCCCCACTTTTCTCTTCTTGGTAGACAGATGTCTTCAAAACTTACATACCTGTTTTGAAAAGGTGGAACTCCTAGAGCATCTCTTGAAGCTTGAGAAGTTTCAGGGCTTCCAGCAGACCCCAAATCTTCCTCCACAGTTTACACCTACAGTTAGCGGCTCAGGAGCCATGCTGGGAGCCCAGGGTCCCTCATAGTTTAGGGAAGGTGTTTCCCAGGAGAGTAGAGAAGTAGAGCTTGGCACAGATTGAGGGGGGTCTGTAGAGACCAGCCCTGGAGCCCTAACAAAGCTCTCCTAAGAAATACCAGTCACGTTCTCAGGCTCCTTCCAGTTTTTGAAAGTGAAAGCTGAAATGCAATCCCAGCAACCTCCACCCTGCCCTCTGGACAGTGCACCCTGGTTATCAGCAGGGAAACAGCAGGATCAGAGGGGCCAGCAGCAGGCACCCTGACTCCCCTGCAGGCACAGGGGAAGCACCACCTAGCACCCACTGTGGAGCACCCACTGCGCTCCAAGCCACTTGGCTTCCAGCCCCAGAACTAGGGGTGAGTGTGGGGCTCAGTCAGGACTTGACACAGCCTGTGCCCAACGGTGACCACCCCAGTGACCCCATGTCAGCTGTCACCCACATGGCAGAGCCTGTGAGGAGCCACCAGAGGGGCTGTTTCTCTTTTCCTCACAGCAGCTGACCCAAGACCCCACACATCCTGGACACCAGGAGTCAGCACTGGGCACCGGATGCTGCCAGGACCTGGTCCTGCCCAGACTGCATGGATGGGGCCTGCGGCTTGTTCAGATGTTAATGTCACCCGGGACCTGGTCACAATGACCAGACCCTGTCCCACCAGGATGCAGGGTCACCAGGAAAGGCCTGATTTTATGTCCCCAAGGAACCTGGAGCTTGGGCCTTCCCTCCCCCTCACTTCCTGTGGTTTCCCCTTAGCAGTAAAGGGCACCTATGTGCCCCAGTTATCTCTGCCATAAACTCCAGGTTCATCTTCACAGTCTACTCCCCACCCAATCTACTTCCAATGCACCAAATGTTCAGTCCATGTCCATGACCAGCATCTATTCCACATCACCCTCATTTCTCACCTGGCCCAAAGGTTATCCCACCTCACCTCCAGCTTCATCTCCCCCAGTCCATTTCCTTTCAAGGTCATGACCCTCTCCAGTCAGCTCATGTCATCTTCCTTTCTCATCCCTTCAGGGATCCCTCTGCTTAAAGGAGAGGGCCTCCCCCTTCCAGACATCCCCCTCCCTCTCTGGCCTCTCCCAGGACCTCCCTATGGCTCAGGTGACTCCCTCAATTCAGGGAGCTCTCCTAGCCTCAGACCTCCTCACAGTCCCTGATGCTCCTACTGCCTCTGCTCCCCAAACCATTCACCTTTCAGGCCACATCTGAAGTGACCTGAAAGTTCCCTTGTAGGGGAACTGCTAAGCAAATAAATCTTTCCTGATTCCTGCTAAAGGGTCTTAGGCCTGGTGCAGTAATAATTCAATGTGATTTTAAATAACTGCAAGGATTGGTGCGGTACAGAGAAGGAGAGCCAGGCCAAGTTTCTGACAGGAACTTTATTACACTCCCAGGCAATGTTCATCGACCCCCAAGGAGGTCCGAGAAGTCGTGCCCGTTATGGGGGAGAGATGTCCTTCAATAGGGTGTGGAAGGTATAGGTGGGAAACTGTGTATGTGGAAACTGAAGTTGTTTTTTATTTTTTTGGCAGTTTTTTGGTTGATTGCTGTCAGTTCCTGTTTGTATCAGTGGAAGCCTCTGGCTGCAGGAACTGAGACAGTGGTGGGATTTCCCTCTGCAGTTTTAAGGACCCGCCTTGTGCCCCTTTTCTGGGGCCCTCAACAGGCCCCCTGCACTGACCTTACAATAACAAGTTTGCTTACTTGATAAACTTTCCTTAGAGAGCTTGCCATCTAAGTTTTAGCTTCTCTAAATGAGGTTACACTTGAACAATGTCGGACAGCCAGCCAAGCTTATTTATCTCTCAAAGGACATCCTCGAATGTCTGTCTTTCCCTCTTTGTCTGGGAATATTGTGCTTGCTAACTGATGTTATCAATGCAAGATGGTTGTATATTAAAAACAAACAAACAAACAAACAAACAAACAAAAAAACCCTTGTCTCTAGACTGGTGCTAAGACCTTACGGGGCTACCTAGGTCTCAGACCTCATGCATGAGTAATAAA